CCAGCCCAGATCTCTCCTGAGGGTTTCTCCACGTCCCCTGATCTGAGAGGCGATGGGGGCAGCAGCTGCCACTCACACCCACAGATGGCGCCAGCCCCAATCACTCCACACTGCCAGTGGGTGCGAGCATGGCTGGCACTGTCAACATGTGGAAGTGGCAGTGGCAGGAGCAGGACTGCTGGCAAACAGAGTTCCAGAGCTGTGGCAGGAGGGGCTAGACTGGGGAGCAAAAGATGGGCCGAGACCCACCTCTGTGCCCACCACAGTCTCATGGTTCATAGTTCCTTTCAAGGTGCACAAATTTGTGCACTGGGCCTGTAGTGTGGTATACTATTCTAAAAACTTCAAATAGAATTATTCTAAAATGTTATTTAAATCTAAGATTCTAGTGACAAGAAGTATCACTTATTTAAAATTGCTAGAGTTTCTTTATTTTTTAGTATTCATTGAATTTTGCACATAAAGTGCTTTAGGTATTTTATTTAAAGTGATGAGAATTAAAAAGCTTTGAGATTTATAATTGTGGGAGTAAACTTTCACAGACCAAATATGTTTTCACTTTTCTAATAGAAATTTTATAATTAAATACAGTTTATGCTAAGTAACTATGATACTAATGGAAGAACATATTTATTTTTAGGATAGCTGCAGAATCTTTATTAACAAGTGAAGGTATAATTTTTATTTGTATTTGTATTATCAGAAAAACAACTCCAGTTATCAATTTACCTACTAGGAAAATAATTAAATGCCTAAATGCAATAAAGTAAAAAAAAAAAAAAAAAGATTCTGCCTTTAATTTGCATTAATATAATTATACTCCATGGCTCACTTATCAAATTATTCCTCTTCACTGTCACACATTAATAACAGCACATAATCACTATATCTTCCAAAAATTTCTAGGCTTTACTATTCAGAGAAACTATGTAAGAGAACTCATTGTTTAGGGGGGGGAGGAGGAGTCCTATTGATATACTGTGTAGATTTTTTTTAGAGCTATTCACTGTACAACTAATATTTAATTTGGACAACTAATATTTATACTTTCTTTTGGATTTTAAAATTGTCCACAAAATTAAATCAAGCAAAAGAATAAGAACTCCAGAGAGCACAAGTCTAAGAGTGGGCTGATAAAAAAGCAGTTCCAATTCATTTATTAAGATACTAGAGGCCCGGTGCACAAAATTCATGCATGGGGGGAGGGTGTCCCTTTGCCTGGGCTGCATCCTCTTCAATCTGGGACCCCTCAGGGGTTGTCTGACTGCCAGGTTTTAGGGGAATTAACTCCATTCATTAGGAAAATAACACAGAATGGCCCTGACATAAAAACAGTGTGGTTTTATGAGCTGTTTTAATAATAATGACCATTCATTTAAATATCTGCTTACATACAATACAGCTGATACCATGTGAATTCAGAATGTTAATATCACAGTCATAGAAGACTGTAGTGGAAATAACCTGAATTGTCTAGTCCAAGCTTTTATAAATATTGAAATTCCCTTTTCAAAGATTTTGAATGCTTTTTGTCCTAAGACGCTTACCCAACTTTTGAGGTAACCCATTTCCTGTGAAAGAACTGGAGGACTCTTGCGGGGCTGAAGTAACTGGGCACCGCCAGTTTGTGGCTATGGGCACACCATCTTTGTGATGGTGATGGTCAATTTGCATATCCCCTCTTTATTAGATAGAATTAGCCCATGCTTGGGTACAAAACTTTTTATGAGTCCTCACTGCTTAAAGAATAGTTCTAAATCTAAAATTCTTTAAAATCAAATTCAATAAAACATTTTTAAGAAAAAATCCCACTGTCACACCAATAAATGCATTAAAAATAAAATTCTTTAAAAACTGGGTAAATCTTTTTGTTAATTTCTTACATCTTCCTATTCAACATAATCTCTTATCACATTAACCTCATCTCAGTTCTTTCTACACATTATGTACTTACACTATGTACTTTCATTTCTTCTGCTTTATTCAGGGTATTTCATCTTTATGAAGTGCAAATTTTCCTCTTTTCTAGCCTGATCATTCTGCAAAGATCCTAGTCTTCATTAAGTTCTTCATGTACTCCAAAGTTTTCTTTCTTTCTGTATTATCAGTATTTTCACTTTTATACCCTTATTGCCCAAATCAAGTCATATGGCTAAGCTTGACATAAATGAGGTACAAATATAATCTCTCTATTAGGATGTTAAATATTTATAAACAAAAAGACAATCTACCACAGTCTGCTCTTCCTGATTGCAATCATTCCAATCTTTTTTTCTTCCTGTGTTAAAATATCATCCCCCTACTCACGAAGAGAGATAACCAAAAAGTATTGTTTATCATTATTGACAGCTCAAGTCCTATGATCTCTGAGCCATGCTGTAGTCTCTGTGTTTGTTTGGGGTATGCCTTCTCTTGATCTGGAGAGCTTTGAAGTAACAACGTCAAGTTAATTGCCCTCAGAACATGCAACATGCAATGGTGGAATAGAGATTGGAAAACCATACAATGAATGATCCTGTTCACAAAGAGAAAGACTGAGAGGCATACACTGGTCCTGAAATCTTGCAAGGCAGAAGTTGCTGCTGACTGGAGGTGGAGAACATTCTTTGCTTAGGCCCCAATTCTGCCATCTGGGGATTTGTTCTAATCCACTCTTCCCTGTGGCTCCTGTCTCCCTCTCTGGGAAGTCTTGTCTTAGATACACTAAAGAGGAAGTTACAGAATAGCACTTTCATGGGAGATAAGCACATCTCTCAACCTGCTTCTCATCTCCAGGAGATTGAGGAGTCCAAGTGTCTTTACACATCCACAACAGTCAGAGGCTCTTTATTCCAAGGCTGATGTTCCTTTAGCAGAAACACCGCTTCTCTTTCATTTGATTCCAGGAAACTCCATCCATCAAAGGCCATACAATTCTTTTTGGAGATTCTAGTACCTCTTTCTTCCTCTAGATTTAATTCCAGTCACTTTGATCCGATCAGGCTTTGGTGAGAGAGCTACACCTTTATGACTTTCACATTGTTCCGTTGAGAGAATTTACTGAGACACCTTAACTTACTGACCTGTTTCCACAAAGGTGTGATGGCTACATTCTTGAGTGGGTCATGACCTTGAGGTTGGAATTGACCTTTTTGGCCAAACACCTTCTTTTATCTTAAGTAGCTAGAGATGAGAATCCACCCTCCAACTACAGTAGGCAAGTCTACAAAGCACCAGGTGCTCTGTCAGTACAGCTTGCAAACTGACTATTTGGAGTCCATATCTTTTCTAACTATTGCTAACAATTCTACACATGCTGCTAACATACCCCCTAGGGGGCCTGCCATTTCACTGAAAACTAGAAGTTCATCAGGAACATGGATTGTAATGGACTTTCCAACATTTTTGGACCTTCCCGCTACCACTACCCTCATCTCCTCAAAAGTCCTCTCTAGCTTCAGACCCTTAACAACCAAGGAATGTGGTCGGCAAACTGTGACTAGTGAGCTACGTGCGGCTCTTTGGCCCCTGGAGTGTGGCTCTCCCACAAACTACCACGGCCTATTTTGAAGAAGTGGTGTTAGAAGAAGTTTACGATGTAAAAAAATTGGTTCTCAAAAGAAATTTCAATCCTTGTACTGTTCATAGTTGGCTCTGTGGACTAATGAGTTTGCCGACCACTGGTCTAGGATCTCTGTTCTGTCCACCTGCATCCTTGTTTTCAGCGGATTTAACATCTACTTCTCCTTCAGGTCTAACGTTACCTTTTCGGAGGAACATTTTCCTATTCTTTCCACACCCAATTATTTGTGCGATCCGTTTCCTTCATGATTTACTTCAGATGATCCCTAGCATCCCTAAAATCTGACCCATGGAAGGCTTTTGGGTTAAAAAATAAAAAGAGAGAGATAGCCAAAACCGGTTTGGCTCAGTGGATAGAGCGTTGGTCTGCGGACTGAAAGGTCCCAGGTTCCATTCCTGTCAAGGGCATGTACATTGGTTGCGGGCACATCCCTGGTAGGGGGTGTGCAAGAGGCAGCTAGCTGGTCGATGTCTCTCTTCCATCGATGTTTCTAGCTCTCTCTCTCTCCTCTCCCTTCCTCTCTGTAAAAAATCAATAAAATATATTTAAAGAGAGAGAGAGAGAGAAACGAAATTGCACTGGCATGGTAGAAAGGATGTGTAGGGAACGAAAACACTGAAAACACATTTAAGATTACAGTGTTGGGCCCAGGGAGAGGGCAGTTCCCTGTGGTGTTGACCATTCATTGAGGTCCGCCCGCCCGGGACCTGCGGGTTGAGGGCTCCCACTGACAGAACGATCTTCACGGCCTTCCCAGCGTTTAACCTCTGCCCGACACTGACAGGAAGCAGCTGCGGCGTTTTAAACCGCAGTCCCTGACCTCGGCCGCAAGAGACGCGACCCGCCCTGCAGGCGCCGGGCGCTGGGCGGCTGCAGGCGCCGCGCTGCTCCCTCGGCGGCCGCCGCGGCCTCCCGGCGCGCGCCCGGCACGCGCGTCCCCAGAGCCTCGGCGCGCGGACCCGGCGGGCGGGCGCCGCGCGAGAGGACCCCGCGGCCTGGGCGCGCGCAGGTCTGTCCCGGGCCTCCTCCTTCTCTTCACGCGCGGCTTCCTGAGAAAGTGCCTGTCTAGTCGATACAAGTGTTCCAATTTTTTTGGTTTTTTTTTTTTTTTTTACGGAAAGCAATCACCCTTCGGGAACATACATGGCACAGGGATAAGAATGCTCCCCTTTTGAGCGGACGCTGAAGGTCTGTTCCGTTTACGGCAGCCGCGAGGAGCGCTGCGGGGGGGGGGGGGGGGGGTTGGGGGGAAGAGTCAGGCACTGTTCTGGACAGCCGCATCCGGGCCTCCTGCCGCAGGGTGCCCTCTGAGCCAGGGGTCCTTCAGGTAGGAGGGCCTGGGTGACTTTGGGCGTCCGCTCCTCCTAGGTGCACGGAGTCCCGGCTGCCGGCGCTGCGCGTTCGTTTTCTCCCTGCTCCCGTGCCCTCCGCCGCCACCATGCTCCGCCAGATCCTCAACCAGGCCAAGAAGCATCCCAGCGTAAGTTCGCGACCCCTTCCTCATGGCCTGCCCTGCGCGGGGCTGCGGCTGCCTCCGTCCCCGGCAGCTTCCTCCCTGATGGCCCTCTCCGCTCCTGGAGGCTGGACCTGGCCTCCCTTTGCCCTGTCCTGCCGGTCACTCCGGGCCCTTGGTCTCTGACCTTCCACGCTTTGCATTGTGGGTTGTTGTTGTTGTTTTTTTTTTGGGGGGGGGGGTGCTGGCCGGCTGAAGGTGACGGGTACCTGGAGGAAGGGAAGGGAGTGAGTGCTGGAATGAGCTGGCGGCCCCGCCCTCTGGCAGGTGGCAGGGGCCGAGAGGGATGGAGGGTGCTGCGTGCATTAGAGGCCAGTGAAGCTCAGGTTGTCACCCGCTGTTTCGTGCATTCCGTGGAGGAGCTTGGACACACTCACTGCCTTGCGCCGCCACCAGACCTTGTGGGCCTGGGATCTTGGAGTCCTCAGTTTGGGCGCCTTGACGTTTGGGGGAGTTGGATAACGACAGAGTTTAATTGCATTATTTTGCATCTCATTCCCCGCCCCATCCCTCCGCACATCAACGTACTGTGATTTAAAAACTCAATTACTACGCTGTCTTTCCATCGTTACCCTAAATCCAGTTGGTAGCAGTATGTTTGCCGAGGCTCTGCCTTAAAAACTAATGTTTGTAGGGGTGTGTTGCTGCTTGCTCTTTCCGGCTGTTTAGTGAGTCTTTCATAACGTGTATATCGAGGCAAGCTTAAGTAACCTGTCAAGAGCTTGTTTTTCAAGCTGGGAAATTTATTAGGAATGATGAGGTAGAAAGAGGTGACGTAGACCCCATATTTTTAAACACGGAATTGAAAAGTAGCCATTTGAAATCTGGGAATCGACATGTAGAATCAACGGTAGCCTTTCCATTATCCGTGTCCAGGTATTTGAAGATGACTGTTAATTCTTGTATCTTTTGTGTTTGATTCTAGTTGATCCCCCTCTTCGTATTTATCGGAGCCGGGGGTACTGGAGCAGCGCTGTATGTCACACGGCTGGCATTGTTCAATCCAGATGTCTGGTAAGAACTTAAAAATGTTTGGAACTTGGGTGGTTTATTCATCTGGTTTAGGAGCCACAGTCTTTCTGGGGAGGCAGCCTGAAGTAATAGAAAGAAACTGAGTTTTGTAGCCATACAGTAAGTTCAGATCCCAGTTCCGCAGTTGTATTTTTCTTGCTTCATGAGATCATCTAAATTTCTCTGAGTCTCATTTTCTCATTGGTAGAAGAGAATTGCTAATACCTGTTTTCTAATGTAAAGATTGAGATAATTGTTTCTGTAAGATGCTTCATCAGAGTTGCTGGTACATGTAAATGCTTTTTTGCCTACTTTCCCACAATAACATGGTGTTTTTGTTTTTGTTTTTTGATTGGTTTGTTGAAGTTGGAAAACAACAGGCAAGGAAAAAAAGATGGATTAATTGCTATTTTATGCATTTTGCTATATAACACTTCATTGATGAAATAGGAAACATCCAAGTATAAAGTTTCCTGTGCCAGGGATAGGGACAAGAAAAACTGTCCCAAGAGGCTCTGTGTTTACCTTATATCTAATTGATAATGTGGGATTGTTTATCACAGATCCAGTCACCATTTCAACTTTACAATGAAAACAACACCATACTCCACCTAATAATGAATGGGATCTATTCAGAACATTAGATTTTAAAGAAGTAGGAAACCATTTTAAGTAGTTTTTATTGCTGTAACGATTATAATGTCTTATTTTTTAGTTGGGACAGAAAGAATAACCCAGAACCCTGGAACAAAGTGGCTCCCAATGAGCAATACAAGGTAAGCTACAAAATTGTTTCAGAATTGCTGGAAAGTGTGTTTTAGTAAATTTTCTCACGGAGTAGTTGTTTTTGACATTGGATGTGCAACAAAATTTAATTATAAAGAACTTTGAAGAGCTGCTAGATTGTTCTGTGAAATTAAAATGGCATGTTTTTCTAATAAGTATTTTTTGCTAAGGATTTTATTCACAGACTGGACTCTGGATGTGAAATTAAAATAATGTCTCAATTCTACTGATTTGATGAAGAAAGAAGAGATAGTATAGCTCTTGTTCACCATTTTCATATATCTTCGTCTAGTGTAGTTTTCCTCAAGTCTCTGGAGAATTTGTGAAAACAGATTCTTTAGCTCCACCTCCCCTATTCTCCCCCAACCCCTCCAGAGATTCTGATTCAGCTGCTCTGTTGTGGTGAAGGAGAATATTCATTTCTAACAAGGTTTCTGATGATGCTGACACTGCTGATCCATGAACCACACTTTGAGTAGCACTAATCCAGTGGAAATTTTCATTAGCTGTTCTTCCTTGTTGGTGTGGTTGAAATATTTCATGTGAAGATAAGTAGGAATTTTTGGAAGTCAGTTGAAACTGAAATTTTACCATGAACCTTCTAGATAAACTTAACATTTTTTCTGAAGAGTGGTCTAAAGAATGATTTCATGGACTGAGACCATTTACTTACTTTTTTGAGATATAATTGACATAATATCGTGTAAGTTTGTACGTGTTAATTTGGTGCATTGATATATTGCAATATGATTACTACAGTAGCGTTATCTAACACTTTTATGACATCACAAAATTATCATTTTTTCTTCTGCGTTGAGAACAATTAAGGTCTAGTTTCCTAGCAACTTTGAAATTTATAATATAGTAACTGTAATCACTATTTTGAACCTTAGGTCTCCAGAACTTACTACTAGTTTCAAGTTTATACTCTTAAACATCTTTCAGTTCTTCCACCTTTTAGAGACCATCATTCTACTATGTTTTTATATGTTTAGTTTTTTAGGTCTCACATGTAAATGATATCATATAGTATTTGTTTTTCTCTGACTTATCTCAGTATAATGCCCTCAGGGTCCATATGTCCTTGCAAATCTGAGACCATTTATTGTTTCCCCAAACAAAATCTCCTTATGTGTAAAATTTTTGTATATAAAAACAAACCCTTGCAATGTTAAAATAACAAAATGGAAAGCCAAACAGCTTTATTAGGGTATAATTTTAATAGCATACAATTTACCTATTTAAAGTATATAACTCACCCATGCACTTTCTGCTATATCAGACTGCTTCATCAAAAGAGAAATAGCAGTTTACTTAAGCATTTTTAAGAAGAGGTACTCTTGACCAGTGTGTGTCTAAAACCCTTTAGGAGATAAACCTCCCTATGGAGGTGACACTATCATTACTGATAGCAGCAACCTTTAAGCTAATTATCACCCTTTGCTGATTCTAAGTTTTGAACTCAGCCTTCAGATTGTAATTTGGCTTCCAAATCTCTTAAAAAGATCTCCCTTCAAGGAATAAATAAGAATGCAACCATGGAGCTGAAGTGAGCCATCTGATCTGTGCCTTAAATTTTGCCTCAATAAAATGATAAACAGGCATCATGTTTTATTTTTCTCTCACGAATTGTTTAAATCAAGTCCATTCTAGAGGAAATTGTGTCACACGCAATAAAGTTTAAAAAAGAAAACAAATAAACTCAGATATTGATCCTTCCACCAAAGAATATATTGGAGTCTCTGGGTATGTGTAGTTCATGAAGTTCCCCAGGCGATTCTGATAATGAAGCCAGTTGCCAACGTTCTGGACACGATAACACATGCCACTGTGGGGCCATGTAAGTTTGGAAGTGGAATGTTGCTACAACAGAAAGTTAATGTGTGTAGCATAGATGGGCTGTGAATAGCTGTGACACTGATACTAGAAACTTGAAAGATGAGTCATATAATGGCAAAATATTTGGTAAAGTGTCACCTGCTGTACTTGGAAGGTGGACCACGTACCTGAAGAGCAGCAATAGAAAGAAATTTTGTAAAACAGGATATTAGTGGTCCACAATTGCTAACTATATTTGCCAAGCGATGAGCATGTTAAAGAATAGAATGATTTGCAAGAATAAATGAAAGAGAATGAGTCCAGAAACTGGTGAGCCAAGAATGAACAAAGCCTACTACTGTTTCTAAACCCAAACAGTGAGGTAGACTAGATTATTATGTCATTTCACTGCCCTTCACCTAAGAGAATTTGTTTTTCTGGTGCATCTACATTAGGGTTGGCAACATGACTTGCTTTGGCAAATCATAAGTGAGGGGCAGTGTGATAACCACTTCTGAACCAGTGTGTGGTTGCTACCATTGTTAATTTCCATTTATCATGAAACCACAGTTGACAGCTAAGATTACTAGGATTTAAATGAGAAGAACATTGGGGCAGTCAGTTTGTAAGTGATATGAAATGTGAGGGATTTAAAATAAACCATTATTGTTACAAACCACCGGTTATTTGTTCCACTTTACAATCCAGCAAAAGCTAACTAATACAACCAGAGAGGGTACTAAAATGGGATTTAAGCATCAAAGGCCCAGCAACGCTTCAGTTGAATAAAACAGTCAAAACCGAGATAGAATACATTGTGCCTTCCCAACTGTTTCAAAGACCTTCAAGGTAGCCACCATTAAATTGAGAAAAAGAATGGCGACATGGAAGCAGAAAAATAAAGCAGACTTGAAGACTTACTTCAACGAAATTTTGATACTGACTGGCATATGGAACAAAATAGAAGCCTGCTTAGTTTTGAGGAAATTGGCAGCAATACCATCAACTTTCCACTTTGCATGGGTATGGGAGCTTGATCCTGCTTAATATATATCCTGCAGTTCCTTTTATAAATATTCTGTAATATTTTGTTAGGGATAGCACAACTTTGTTTAACTCATTATTTCAGTTCAATTGCTTTATAAGAGAATATGTCAAAATAAAAAAAACTTGTTAGGGCTCATTCATACTTTTATGTATCTCAAGAAAAAGCTTTACTACATGGGATTTTTTTATTTAAAGAAGTCAAATAAGTATTTCAGTTAGATTAAAAAAAATTAGGATATGTTTGGAGAAATAAAGCAAAGAGCTTGAAGAAATAATGGATACAGATTCATGAGCTTCTTGCTTAAAATCCCTGAAGAATATGTTAGTAATTTTGTAATTTTGGTTTTCCTGGGATTTATGTAGTCTTCAAGTAATTATAGCACAACTCTTCAGTGTTTTTGGCACAAGAATGAGTAAACTCAAGGGTATAGCCTTATTTTGGCTTATTGCAAATTCTAATGTTTACTCAGTGTGGAGCAGTTGACAACTAGAACCATTAAAAAGAAAAGTTACTGAGAAGCAGGGTTTTTTTTAAGCAGTCATAGTAAGATTTCTAATTGAATATAATTTAATTGAATTAGTAAGATTTCTAATTTAATTGAATATAAAATTTTCAAGTATACAATATTACTTACAGTATTATTTAAAAGGAAAAGCACAGACTTATTTAAAAATTTTTATACCAGGGGTCTGTTTGATATTGATGCATCTGTGTTAGGAAACTAATAGAAAAAAAAGCCATCAAGGCAAATCAATTTCTGTTGAAAAAGTTATGTAAACCATACAACAAAACATTACCATATGACTAGTTTATCTTGGTTGCTATGAATCTCTCCTATCTAACTTACAAACCTACTTTGCTAGCCAAAGTAGGAATGATGATGCTTAGTATCCTTCTGTCGGAGATTCATCTGTATACTTCATGGATATGGAAGTAAAAATTTAAGAATTGGAAGTATGTATCATAAGGAATTCTTATCTCCTAGAAAACAATTTCTTAGGGCGTCTGAATAACAGATTATACTAATACTGCTCTTCTGTGGTAGACTGAATATTTTGACCTTACAAAATTGTTATTAAAGAACTGGAGCTTTGGTGTCTTTGAATGACTTTCATATTATTAAAGGCCTGAGGAGGGGATGGGATGGGAGCAGGGAACGGGGTAGAGGGGTGAGGGTGGGGGGGAAAGAGATCTGTAATACTTTGAACAATAAAGCTAAATTTAAAAACATTCTTAAGAAAAAAATCATGTATGTTATCTTTACCATAGAAAGCTGAATAAGAATAATTCTAAAACTTCTGTACCATCTCTGTGTATTTGATAGATTATGTAAAATATCTTTTTTCTTTTTCAAGTTCTACGCAGTGAATGTAGATTACAGCAAACTGAAGAAAGAAGGTCCAGACTTCTAAATGAAATGTTTCACTATAAAGCTGCTTAAAATGAAGGTCTTCCAGAGCCATCCGCACAATTTTCCACTTAACCAGGAAATATTTCCCCCTTCAAATGCACAAAATCATGTTGGTGTATTGTGTTGGGGTTTACACTGATCAATAAATATTTGAAACTTGATAAGTCTCATTATTTTATTGTTGATCCTCACCCAACGATATTTTTTTTTCCCATTGATTTTTAGAGAGATTGGAGAGAGAGAGAGAAACATCAATTGGTTGCCTCCTACACACATCCTGATTAGGGCAGGGGATCGAGCCCATAACCAAGGTACCCTCCAGTTCATGGGCCAATGCTCTAACCACTGAGCAACTGGCTAGGGCTGTCTCACTATTTAATGCTGAAAATGTTCTCTGAATTTTATTACTAGGGTATGGGAAATAAATATTAGAATTGAAGGGATTTCTTGAGTTTGTATATCCTATATAATAAAGAGCTAATATGCTAATTAGATTAAACAGAAGGACTGTCCAGATGGTTATCTGGACGAAGCCGGCAGGGCAAGCCCCTTGTATGAATTTTGTGCCTTGAGCTTCCAGTATGTGTATAATTTGAAAATAAGACTTTAAGTTGCTCAATAAAACTTTTATTTTGTGTATAGGCCATAACTTCACTAGAGCATAATAACTGCAACTGGAAGTTATACAAAGGCAGATCGAGAAAAATATTTACCTTTGACAAAATGGAAACTTCTGAACATCTGTACGGGCTGATATCTAAGCTGTGCAATTGTTAATGTTTACCGTAGCATTCTCTGCTGAAGGTTTTCAAGGTTATCAGTCACTGTAGTCTAACGGGAATTTAGTTGGATCTGAGTCTCTATCACTGCTAACCATGGAGCTAGTGGACAAGAACAGATCCTGGGAATTTCTGTTGACTCTTGGAAGGTTTTCAAAAGCCAAGAAGTATATTAATAGTAATTTTCAGGTAGGGAAAATGTATAAGAGTTATCTTTTTCAAATTGGGTGAATTGGAATTCAGTTGAAGAAAATGTTACTATATATATTGACATTACCTGTTATGTGGCTTAGACGTTTTAGCCAAGTCTGAAATTATCCAATGAGCAGGACATTTCAATGGTGGCTATTCAAGAATTAACCATATTTTATATATGAAATTTTCAAATAGGTGTGTGTTTGTGAGTCATTATATCATAGAACATCTTTGAATTTTACTATATAAACTAGTAGCTCTGCGCACAAATTTGGACGCCTGTTGCTCACTGCCACCTTCCAGTAACTCCGCCCATTGTCCCATCCTCCTGTGGCTCCCCCAACCCCCCTTCCTTTTACCTTTTCCCCCTTAGTTTGCTCCTCTGCCTCCCATAACTCTCTGCTGCCAGCTTGTAGCTTGCTGCTCCACCTTCTTGCTGATCCGTGATCTGGTCTTATGCAGTTGGAGTAATGACCATTTGCATATTACATCTTTATTATATAGGATGTTTTGTTAGTAAAAGCACATTGTATATGTCAGGAACTAACTAAATGTTTGAATTAACATGGATTATCTCAAATACACTTTTATTTTTAAAGTTAAGGAAACTAGGATGTGGGTGAATTAAATTGCTTCTCATTCAAATGTGGATATTTGAACCTAGGTAGTCTTGAATCTACAGTGTAGAGTACATTTCAGTTAATTTAAGCTCCTATGTCTCTTGCACAATTTCAGCACCTAGAACATAGTTTCTCAACCTTGCTTATTAAATCAGTTCATGTTTTCTCTATGTCCAAAATATATCTAGAATCTCACTTTATTTATTTATTTATTTTATTGATTTTGTACAGAGAGGAAGGGAGAGAGATAGTTAGAAACATCAATGAGAGAGAGTCATCGATCAGCTGCCTCTTGCACACCCCTACTGGGGATATGCCCGCAACCAAGGTAGTACATGCCCTTGACCGGAATCGGACCTGGGACCCTTCAGTCCCCAAGCCGAAGCTCTATCCATTGAGCCAAACCAGTCTCGGCTAGAATCTCACTGTTTTTAACACACAATTTCTCTATCATCACCTTGGTCTTAAGCTATTAACCAGGATTATTAAAACAATCTGTTAGCTGATCTCCCTGTATATAATACAATATGCTATCAACATAGCAGCCAAAATGATAAGTCCCAATATGACATTTCTTTCCTTAAAACCCACCAACATTTCTCCATTACATTTTATTTTTCAAACTATAAGATAAAGTTTTTATTTTTTTTTATTTTAATTTTTATTGATTTCAGAGAGTAGGGAAGAGAGAGAGAGAGAGAGAGAGAGAGAGAGACAGAGACAGAGAGAGACAGAGAGAGAGAGGAGAGAGAGAGAGAGAGAAACATCAATGATGAGAGAGAATCACTGATCTGCTGTCTGCTGCCTCTTGCCTGCCCCACACTGGGAATTGAACTGCAGCCCAGGCATATGCCCTTGACCAGAAGCCAATTGGGACCCTTCAGTTCATAGGCCAATGCTGTATCCACTGAACCAAACCAGCCAGGGTGAGAAAGTTTATTTAGAAAGTCACTAGAAGAAACAGGTTTAGAAAACAAGTTACAGAGGCAAAAGAAGAGGCCCTTGAAGCTTAGGAGAGAGGGTAAAGGTAACCCGCCTAGAGGGAAGAGGAGGAGAATAGGAAAGGTGGTGTGTTCCAGGAGGGAGAGCGCCAGCACTTCCCCCCTTTAATCAATAAACTTTCTGACTCCACTCTACTTGGTCACACACCTCAACTGACTGGATTTCCTTACTCTTTCACAAACAGGAGCATATTCATGTCTCACGGCTTTGCCCTTGGCTGGCTTGGAATTCTCTTCCCCAAGTATTATTGGCACGGCTCACTCATAAGTATTTTTCTAGTTTTTGCTCCAATGATGCCTTCCATGTCCAAAAGTGCACATCCTACTTCACCCTCATTACTTTTTATTTGCTTTCCCTTCTTTGTTTTTTCACCTTAGTACTTACTATCATCCATCGAAATCTTGATGAATCATTTTGTGAATATCGACAAACTGATTCTAAAATGTATATGGAGATGGAAAAAGACCCAGAAAGCCAACACAATATTGAAAGAGAAGAACAAAGTTGGAACACTAACACTATCCATCTTCAATACTTACTATAAGCTACAGTAATCAAGACAGTGTGGTACTGGCAAAATAGCAAATAAATAGATTAATGGAACAGACTAGAGAGCCCCCCCAAAAGTTGCATGCTGTTGGAAAACAGCATAATGGATTTCTTATAAAACTAAACATACTCTTACATAGAATCAAGCAATTGTGCTTCGTGGTATTTACAGAGAGGTGCTGAAAACTTGTGCCCCCACAAAACTTTACCTGGGTGCTTATTGTAGCTTTATTCTTAATTTTCAAAGCTGGAAGCCAGCAAGATGTCTTTCAGTAGGTGAATGGACAAATAAATGGTGGTACATCCAGACAATTGAATACTATTCAGCCCTATCAAGCCATGAAAAGACTTGGAGGAACCTTGAAGACATATTACTAAGTGGAAGAATCCAATTTGAAAAGGCTCCATACCGTATGGTTCTGACTATCTGACATTTTGGAAAAGGCAAAATTATGGAGATAGTGAAAAGTTCAATGGTTGTCAGTTGGGGACTGAGTGGCACAGGGTTGAGTAAAAAATAAAATCATAATAGAAGAGAAGGTTAAAAATTGTTTAGAATGTGAATTACAGACAATCGGCAATTCTTTTCTCCCTTGGACCTCTAATAACACATTGCCATCTATAATAATAAAAGCTTAATATGCTAATTAGGCCCGATGAAGCTGGGGCTGTGAGGGAAGCCCTGGTTCTGGGTGCCAGAGAAAAGCTGGTGCTGGCAGCCAGGAGAAGGAAGGCCTACTCTTACACAAATTTAGTGCATTGGGCCTATAGTAGCTTTAATATTTATGATGGCTACAAAAGCTTTATGCATAAATCTACTTCCTCATTTCACATGTATTGAGGACAGCACTGAAGTTTTCTGTGTATCTATGAACAGGGCCTACCTATGTCTGGTTTGCTCATCATTATATATCTCTAGGGCCTGAAAGTGTCTACAATTAATAGGCCCACAAGTATTCATTGATTCAATACTTAGAACATAATGTGATTGCAGAGGGTTTTGATTTATAGACACTTTCTCAGTATAATTTAATTTATAGATGGTAGCTGAGTTTTGAATAAATGTTTAGAATAAAAAATGCAAATGCTTACAGGTTATTAAAATGAAAATAAAATTCAGTGAAATGTTTTTTTTATAAACACTGAAGAGATCATATATAAAACAGTGTTAAAATAACTGTTGAAAAATCCTAATTAGTGGCAATTGTTTACCATGTTGACAGCTTATATGACATTTCTAGATTGAAACTATTAATTTGAATTACTCTAGAAAAAATAATGTATATAGGCATTTGTAGTTTATCATTTTAATATGGTGATATACCCCCACTTTTTTTTTATTATCCTACAGTGCTTAACAGTCATGAGTAAATTTATAAACTTATTTTTCATATTGAAGCAAAATGACTATGAGCATGAGATGCCCTCTTCTTTTTTTGTTTTGTTAATTCTCATCTAGAGATTTTTAAAAAAATATATTTTATTGATTTTATACAGAGAGGAAGGGAGAGAGATAGAGGGTTAGAAACATCGATGAGAGAGAGTCATCGATCAGCTGCCTCTTGCACACCCCCTACTGGGGATATGCCCGCAACCAAGGTACATGCCCTTGACCGGAATCGAACCTGGGACCCTTCAGTTCCCAAGCCGACGCTCAATCCATTGAGCCAAACCGGTCCCGGCTGGAGATATTTTTACTATTGATTTTTAGAAAGAGTGGAAGGGAGAGATAGAGACACACAGAGAGAAACATCGATGTGAGAGAGACACTGATTGCTTGCCTTCCGCATGTGCCTCTACCAGCTGGACATCCAGCCTGCAGCTGAGGTACGTGCCCTTAACCAGTATCGGATCTA